AGGAGAAGGGAAAAATATGCGTAGGCCGTGGATCAAAAACTTTGCGTTGGAATCAGGGTGACTCAGCCTAAAAGTGCTTTTGGTCATAAATAATAGAAGACCCAATCCAAACTGACTTGAAAAATAAAGTCAACGTAGTTTCTTATATAAGTCAAAGTGCAAGGGAAGGGTGGCTTGATGGAGGGGTTCACCGTGCCTTCAGGACAGGGGTTCCATGGCTCTGCCCTGTGTAGGTCAGCTTCTTTGTTAGGCTGGCTTCCCTCGTGGAAACAAAAGGACTGCAGCAGGTCCGGTCTAACATCCACACACCACACTCCAGGTGACCCAGCGTTCCAAGCAAAGGTGCTGAGATTCATTCTGTTGGACTGGCTTAAGTCACCAGCCTACTCCTTGTCCAGTCACCATGGCCAGGGCTGTGGAATGCAATGACTATATTAGCCTAGGTCACAGCTCTATCCCTGAAGTTAGGGTAGGGCAGCATCACATATTTGGAATGGAGAAATGAATGCAGCCAACGTATGTCTGCTATACCCGGAAAGCAGAGTGCCTCGCTAGGCTTGGTGAAGCTTCATGGGTGATATCATCACTCATCAATGCTCGGTAGCATTGGTTTTAGCTGGAAGAAGTTCCTGATTCTTCAGTGAAAAGTGCTATGACCAAGTGGACAGAAAAGGATCCCAGCTTCTGCAAACAAAGAAGCAAAAACGTATTCTTCAAGGAATAAAATCTCATCAGCCCTCATCATACTTCAGCTTCTATAATAGATTAAACCAGAGCCTCACTTGGCTTGGCCAGACACCTCGCCTTGTCTGAAGAGGGGGCAGTGGTGTAGCACTCAGGAGACATGTTATGGTGTGCTGCAGTAACAAACAGCCCCCACATCTCATTGGCTTAGTACAAGTCCACTGTGAGTCCAGGTGAGTCTCCAGGGCAGTGGTCTCCATGTGATGACTCAAGGATTCAGGCAGAATGAGTTTCGACCTTCCCGTAACATACAGCCCCCTATATCAGAGAAAGTCCTCTGGAGAGTCATGCACAGAAAGTTAGATGCTTCCACCTGGACATGACATCTGGCACTTTGGCTCACATTTCTTTAGCCACAGCGAGTCCCATGGCCACACCTAACATCAAGGGACAGGTAAGAGCAGTCTGTGCCTAGAAGTAGAGGAGAACCGAGTATTGGCGAATACTGGTAACGCCTGCTCCAGTGGAATTCTGGGCTCTGCAAGCAAGAGCAGAGAACTGTGCCAGGTGCCGCGCCTGCCTCCCTCCCTGGAACCAGCCTTCTGTGATTCTGGCTGCCACACGCGGCAGAGGCGGGGAGGGGACCGGCAATGGAAAGATTAACCGCTCCCTGGGTTCCACATGGGGATCAGTACTTTCAATAGTACTTTGTGAGTTCAGCCTCAAAGTAAATGGTTAATTCATCTTGTATCAACAGCACTGTGATTCATAATGTAAACTTGGAGAATCCTTGATGTTTCGGGCCCACATTCCTTTTATTTTGGCTCTGCATTCTTTTAAAGCCACAGTGTGCTCACTTAATAGAATGCAGCATGCAAATGCACAAGTTTTTGCCTGGAGGCAATTTAGCCTGGCTGTTTCAATGGATGTCTTCTTTCAAGTGTATATTCTTTCTTAAATTATTTACTGGGTAAACACACTTTGCATTTTCAAAAGGGAGATTAAGACTGCTTGCTGCAGACCTAGTTGAAGATAAAGCCCCCCTTGCCCAAAGTTAGCTGGAAGTTACTTTGGGTTTCCCCCAAAGTTCCTTCTCGGCTGACTAGCTGGGAACCCCTCTGCCTGGCTTGTTTCTCCGATTCTCTCAGAACCCCTCGTTCCTTTCTGCTTTGCCTACAGCAATGCGGGCGGCAGCCCCTGGCTGAGCCTGTGTCTAAGTTTCTTCACAGATGGGGCCCACCAATGCCAGCCCGTGTGTCCCCCTTCCAACCTGGCTGAGTCCCATCCACGCAAACACCCTGATGGCTCACTGTTCCAGTCCTGAGAGGGGCTACCTTTGCACAGCTCCTCTGAGGTCTAAAGCTGGGTTGACGGCCTTGCCAGTCAAGCTCTCTCTGTTTCAACTCTTTTTTTTTTTCCTCTCTACTCTTCCTCCCAAATATCTGCCAGCCTTTGGGTCGAAAGCAAATGCCCTTTCCTGCTGAACTCCCCCAGCACACCCCTGAGTTCCCCGAGGACTAGGCCTCCTCCTGGCTTCGGGGAGAAGACCCAGCAGTGCTCTCAGAAGGCATGAGGATATGAAGTTCCATCTCTGGGGGGCTTGTTTCAACTTATAACTTCAGCCTTTTCCATGCAGACTCCCTGACACTTTTTCGCAAACCTGAATGGAATGATTAGAATGAGCGGGGGCTGCGTTCTTCCATTATCATTCTTTGGACAGTTCTCTTTGAGAACCTGCGTGCTGGCAGCTGTGCCATGTGCTGGGGTGAGTTGTGCGTGGTCCTGGTCCACGCTGGTCGGTCCACTGAAGTGTAAGAAGGGGAGGACAGGAGGAAGCCACCAGGCCTTGAGAGTACACCAAGGAGGGGGCGAAGCCCAGTTAGGAAGGGCCAGGGAAGAGCTGAGGATTTAGGGATTCCTGTGTATTCACTTTTCTAACCATGCCTCAGATTGAACAAGTAACCCCCATAGTTTAATCCTGTATAAATTAGCATCATGGATGCCTTGGGGCCCTCAACCCACAAATAAAATGGTTGTCAACTAAGCTGTACAAGAGACACACTACTGTAGATTACTTAAGGCAGAATTTTAAAGAGTTTTCATGCTTTTAATCTGTTTCACTGCTGAGTTTCAATTTTGCTGATTTCCCTTGCAAGTCGGATGCGGGTGACTGTGGTAAATAGAGATTTTGACAGTGACTTGGGCAAATAGGATGTGTAGGGACTGTTCTGAAGACTCTGTCCCTTCCAGAGAAAAGGGGGAAAAAATCAATTTGGGTTTTAAACGCGGCAACCAAGTAGTACCGATCAGTGTTCATAAGTAGCCTCACTTTAATAAACTGTGAAGTAGGTCGGGCGTGGTGGCTCACGCCTGTAATCCTAGCTCTCTGGGAGGCCAAGGCAGGCGGATCGTTCTGAGCTCAGGAGTTCGAGACCAGCCTGAGCAAGAACGAGACCCCGTCTCTACCAAAAAATGGAAAGAAATTAATTGGACAGCTAAAAATATATGTAGACAAAATTAGCCGGGCGTGGTGGCGCGTGCCTGTGGTCCCAGCTACTCGGGAGGCTGAGGCAGGAGGATCGCTTGAGCCCAGGAGTTTGAGGTTGCTGTGAGCTAGGCTGACGCCACGGCACTCTCGCCCGGGCAGCGCGTTGGGCTTTTTTTTCAAAAAAAAAATTAACTTTTGAGTTTTTTTTTTTTTTTATGTTTTTGAGGGACAGAGAATCTTCTGCCTCCTGAGTAAACGTGGCCTGTTAAGTCTGAATTAGCTGTCATCACAGAAGAATTAATGTTGGGGCACAGACTTTCTAGTGGGGAAGGAAGAAACAAACGAGACAGATCTTAGCCGAGCCTTGTGTGATAAATGAGGACAAAGCGGCCCATTCATCTCCTGTGACGAAAGTGGACACAGGCACTAAAGCAGTTTTGCGGAAGACGTGTCAGCAAATGTGATCATTTTGTAACCTGTCAGGAGGAAAGGGAGCTCGTCCTTTCGGGGGGCCACAAGGGAGTGGGTTGGTCTGATGTGACAGTTTCCATTCATCCATTCAGGTCTGGAGAAGGGGATGGGTGAGAAGGAATCGGACTGAAACTGCAACATGATGTTGTCCTCCTTCCAAGGAATGAGCTCATCTAGAAGCTAGAAAAGGCCGCAAACACCCTGCAAAGGTTTTTCAGTGACGATACACGTAGGAGGGTGGGGTCTCTAGTAAATTGGGGGCCTGGCTAAATCCCACCCAGCTGCTCCCCGTGGAAGCCCCCTGTCCCGTGTTCAGTGTCTAGAATAAGGCAGCAGACCTTTTTCTGCTTGATATTTGGAGCAGGGTCGGATGGGATTTGCCTTGGGGTTTTAAGCTGGTTGGATATCCGGCTAGACTGCCAACCACCCTGTGTCTCTATTTCTGTGTGGCTCTTTGACAGCGAGCGTGGGCAAGGCTGTGTGACCTGGGTTCCCTTTGAAAGTCTCAACAAAGCATTCTGATGTTCGACCTCTTTTCTCCGAGTGAGGTGACAAATTATGAAACAACCTCATCAGAAGCTCTCTGCAGGCATCTGGGAACATGTGTCTCCACTCTGCGTTCTCGGTTCCCCATCAGCCTTCGGCAGAGCCGGAACCCAGGGGGCTAGAGTCCCTAGAGGTGAGGGCCCACCAGCAAACGCACAACAGGCACGTCGAGTAGCACTTTGTATTAGTCCTCACTTCCATCTTTTTCTGCAATGGAGCAAACGCAACGTTTCCTCCTGGTGTAACGCAGCGCGAGCCACAGTGACAGATGACGGTTTCACAGCCTAAGCAGCACGTTTGACACTTGCTTCTTAATCCTGTCCTTTTCTTCCTAAGTCTCTCTTTTACTTTTCCCCGGGTATTTTTGTACAGGTAAGTACCTTACTGACATATGTTTCCTTGGAGTCTTTTACTTTAACAGGAAACACTGCAAAAAAAAAAAAAAAAAGTCTCACCTTTTAAATTAAAAAGAGAAGCTCGCAAGGGGCCCTTGATCACTTAAAGAGACTACATGGTACCCCGAGCCAGGAAAGCCATTTGATTCACCTTAGCTTTGCGGTGAGCGTTCTCGGAGGGCGGGCAGCGTGACAGTCACTGTGGACTCGTTCATCTCCTTGTGGATCGTTTGTAGAACCAAAAAGCTGCATGACCTCACACACGCACACGCACACACACACACACACACACACACACACGGCTCCACATCCCCACCTTCAAAGCTGCCGTTTGATTCGCCACCTTGGCCTTGGATGACCTTCCTCCGGATGCCTCCGTTTACCTGTGTGGCTTTCTCCCCTTTGCTCTCTTCTAGAATCATCCAGAACCGCATCCTGCTCGTCATCCTCGGGATCATCGTGGTCATCACCATCCTGACGGCAATCACTTTCTCTGTCCGAAGACACTGATGTATCTGCTCTCCCCTGATAAACAGCAACGGCGGCTTGTTCGGAGTAATTAAGACAAAATGGTCACATGAATCATTCTTTCACACTGACAGGCCCCGGGTGACCCTGTCTCTCCCTCACCACTGTTCAGCTGAAGTGCAAAGAGTGTAAAAATATTTTCTATTTCTGTTTGCATGTGGGATGGTTTCCTTTTCTAGGTTTGTCTTCACCCAGATTTGTTTTTTTTTATAGGGGAAGGTGAATGTTTATTTGCCTTTTGGTAATTTTCATCAATTGACCAAAATAGCCTTGGTGACATTCTTCCTTGCCCTGTGGACATGTCAGGGGTCATGGTTTGGGAGAGGGTGTGATGAGTCAGTCACAGGAGCATCTATTTGTCACATGACACTTGTCACCGAGAAGCCCTCCTGTGATGTCCGAGGATAAAAATGCAGAGAAAAGCAGGGGCCGGAGCCAGTGACCTACCCCAGCAAACCAGCCTTGCTGCTACCCAGGCATAAGGACTATAGTCAACCTGCCTGAGTGCTTTCATTGTAAAGGTGGGTATTTAATGTCAGCTGTATGGGAAACTGACTTAGCACTTTCCCTGTGTTTCTGTTGCATCATTTCTATTTAACCTGAGACTATTTCTGCTAAGCCTGCCCAATATTCACTTTTCACAACTTTGATTACGGGCTATAAGAAATATTTCATGGCCTTCCCCAAATCCCATACTCCCCAGAACTTCCTGGCAGAGGGAGCCCTGGCACGGTATTTAATTGTGACCTCGTCTTCCCTGACCTGTGTAAGCATCTCTGTATCCTTTCGGTTTTAATATTTGCACTGCCAAAAGCAGCCCTCATACATGCAAAAGGTCTGACAAGGTTCTCTCCACATCCATTCCAGTATGTAAAGAGAACATGAATATTTCAGTAAGAGCAAGAACATGACTCCATTGGTGTGAAATTTCAAATATGATTATATAAATATGGGCGAGTCCTATAGGATGATGCACTAGAAATAAACTTTACGGAAAATTTTTACTAACCTCCTTTAAAAGAATAAGAGATTGCAAATTGCTACAAAAGGAACGGCTTGGATTTTTTTACTAACAATTGTTAGCAATGCCTTCCTGAATTCACTATGTATTCAAACCTCTAACATGCTTTGTGATTTTTTTTTTTTTCATTTTTTTCTGTGTGAGGTAACCAAGAATTGCATTCAAAATGAGTTCATTTGTGATCAGGCTTAAAAGTTGCCCAAGCCGAGGCCATTTTGCCCCTAGTCATAAAACCAAATGTGTTTTTCTTAAGACCTCATAGGCATTTACTGGTCTGTACTAGCTTTTGAATATAATTAACAGCTTCGAATCCTTGAAAAGCAAACCTGTTCTCATCATCAAAAATGCTAACCACCTGTGCCCATGGATCAAGATTACCTGGATACAGCACTTGATATTTTTTCCCAACTCCAAAGAAAACCATTACGGTTTCGAGAGGAAATGCAGAATGCAAAAAATCCACGAGAGAAATTGTACTCATCGAAACAGGCGAGGGCCTGCATGTGTTCGGATAAATCATTTAGTATTGTGTAAATAAAGCTGCAGTCTTGACTTCAGAAGGATGGTGTGGGATTTTGGCCGAGCGAAGTAGGACAGTGGAGGAGCGGGAAGCTATGCTAATTCTCCTGTCAGCTGAAGGGATCCATCTCAGCGAGCATCTTGTATTCTGATAACGGAATTCTGTACGTGCTAAACACATCTAAGGAACCATTAGAAAGCAAGGAAGCAAACAAACAACCCCCTTTGTATTCTGACACACTAATAGTGATGGAGCATTGTATCAACCCCTCTGGTGGCTTCCTTCGAAACTGTTGATCTCAGCTAAAGTGCGTGAGCAGCTACCGAGCTACACTTCCGTCCACTGCTCAGCAGACCCTTCCCAAGGCCACCTGGCAAGCAAGGATCATCTAAACTCGCTGGCTTCTAAATATTTCACTGAAACCTTGCGTGCCTGTTGAAGTAGGTGAAATGAGGAAGGAGCTATGGCTCACCTCACCTCTCAATAGCTTTTTCTTCCAAGTTCTATGTCTTTATCAGCTCTCGCCTGTGATTTCACCCCAATTCAGCCTTGGGAGTGGGAAGCACATGAACAGATAACCCTTGGCCTGACAACTCTATCAAACCACCTGCGAGCAACGACCCAGACCAGGGTAGTGAGCACTTTTCGAGGAAGCTGGTCTGAGGGTCCCCAAACTCCTTCCTGGCCCTCCTGGCTGCTGCAGAAATGACTCAGAGGAGCCCCCCAGAGAGGCCAGTGGTTCTCTCGCCTTCCCTGCCGCACTGGGGAAGGAAGGAAGGAAGGAAGGAAGGAAGTCCACAGATTTGAAGGAGGTTGTGAAATAGATCTGGGAGAGGTTCTAGGTAATTACTATGTAGAGTCCCACTGACGAACGTTTCTACAGTTGGGAACCCTTATTAAAAATGATGTTTCTTGGGGGTGGGGAGACGAAGATGAAGATGTGGAGGAGGAAGAAGAGAAGGATGCCCTTGCCATATAAAATTCATGTAGACTAAACAGTTTCCCTGACAGAATAAATAAAGTGGCTGCTACCCTGCTCCAGAATCAAAAGCAATTTAATTAAAGTCTCTTAAGTTGTAAAGAGTTTTAAATGTTCCGTGTTGCAGGCAAATGCCTGCAAATGCAGTGGGCTTGACGTCAGCTGCCAGGCCTGGGCTGGGAGGCCATTTGCTATTCTGTTTAAGGCAGGCTGGATTGTCTTATTTTGGAACCAGCTTGGTGGGGGGTTTGCTTTGCTACTGCTTCTGAGCCCTGAGCTTCAAAGGCTGAAATTAATGGTGAACAAAATTGTGCGGCTCTGGCCATCCCATGCGGGGCAAGCCCATTGAGGGCTATCATTAAGTGAAGAAATAAAGGGGAAAAAAGCCTGCCTGTTCCAAAAACCTCATCAGATAATGACCTCAGTGATTGGGTTTTCATTACCAAACAGCATCCAGAGATTATCAACCCATAGAAGAAGGGAGGGGGAAAAAAAAGAAAGAAAGGAAAAAGCAACTGTCTTTCTCTCCCTCTCTTTCTCCTTTTTTTTTTTTTTTTTTGCACATCTTTTCTTTAAAACTGTCAGATCATTTCAGTATTTCAAATCCGAGGAAAACAGCCTGCCTGCTGCTGTATTTGAAGTTGTAATGGTGTCAAAAAGTCACGACTGACTGACAGCCGTCAGTCCCAGAGGGGCTCATTAAATCATAAAAACTTGACAAGGAAATAATTGCGCATCGCCAGCAACTTGGCGCCTGTTTAGACGTTTTTATTTTCTTTCATTATTAGTCCCCACCATTACGTTCATTAACAAATTGCATTAAACAACTGTTAAGGGCTAATGATTTGTTTATCGCTTTTTTTTTATTATTATTATTTAAACATTAGCTATGTCATGTGGTACCCTAGAAGCCTCTTGCCATCATCTGACTGAATATTTTTCCACTCCGAGCTCTGGGTACTGTTGGAATATGAAATAGATTATTCATTACTCTCCTCTTTGCCACTGATTTGGTTTCATGTAGCGTCTTCCACAGAGAAAGATGAAAACTTGTCAAAAATAGGTTATATCTTATTCGAAGGGGCAACAATAGCAGCAGGTACAGGCACACTTTAATATTTAATTAAGGTTGATGTTAACCCCTTTAAATGACTTTAGCTGTAAGTTATATTCAAATGCAGAAGAGAAAAATAATTGTTCTTAATTTGCAACCTGTTCAGCAGGCATTCTTCATGGAGTTAGCTGGAAATTTAGAGCAGAATTTTTAAATAATGAAATTTCCCATCATAAATATTTATAGCAGTTTGTCTACGTAGTTGAGAATTAACTACAAGCGATGATTTCCTCATCTCTTTGGTTTGAACTGCTAGCCTAGCGGGGCACTCGGTGCTCGGGAGTGGAGGTGGCTTTCCTGGGAGAAGTGAGCGTTTGGAGGGAAGGTCCAGAGAGAGCCAAGTCCTGTTGGTTGGTTGTGGCCAGCGCTGGCTTCAAAGGAACCACTGTGTGTCCCCAGTCTCTGGTCCACTTGCCTTCCTCTTGAGCTGAGTATGTGGTTGGAGAGCTGTGGTCTGGTGGGAGAGTAAGAGGGACGTCTCAAAGGAAGACGTGGTTCAGGGAGGGTGTGATGGGGGTGTCTGGGGCGTCTCTGTACAGTTGACTGGAGCTCGATACAAACAGGGCTTCCCTAGCAGACAACAGGAGTATCACTTTGCAAGGATGGACTGTCACCCTTTTTCCTTTCTGTGACTTGCCATTGGTGAATTGATAGGCTTCTCCATGGGCTATGAGCTTGAAGGGACAGAAGGGACCAAGCTCCATCATCGTCATCCTAAATCAGATGTCAGTGACATTCTCTGTGCCATAACTGCTGTCTATCTGTTCACACTGTTTGTTAGATGAGTTTCTAGAACCCTGGAAGCCACCTTCGGAGGCCTGGTTTATGGATGCTTCAGGGCTGGGGTGTCAGGTTGGTATTGGGGAACAGGGGGTGCCTTTCTCCCATCTCCAGAGGGACCAGAACCCTTAGGTAGCTCTGCCGTGAGCGTGAGGGGAAGAGGTGGTGCGCGTTCCCTGCTCAGTGCAGCATCTCGCAGCGTTACCTCTGCTCCAAGGTCCTGCGGGAGCCGTGGACGGGAGGGGCCAGGCGGGCAGGCATGAGCCAGGCGAGGCCTGGTCTTCAAGCCTCATTGATCACTCTAAGTGTGGAAACGGCAGACACACCCTTGGAGGGTCTCAAGCCTCCATTTCAGTCCAGTCCACATTAGCCACATGACAACCTGCCACCCTTGGGATGGCCTCCACACCTCAGCAGGAGGCGTGCTCAGAGCCATTTTTCCAGAAGGAAGGAAGGCTCTGTGGTGAGCCAACCATCCCCAGTCTGACTCCCAGTGACTCAGGTGAGGGTGGCTGAGGGTGCTGCCTGAGACTAGAAACCAGCCATCAAACTTGACCCTATCCTGTGCTGTAACTCACCAACTTTAAACTGGACCCCAAGAAATGTGCTTGTTTATGTGGCTTTACTTTGCCTGTGACCCATCAGTCTCAGGCCAAGGGCATCTGCCAGAGGCTGTCTGCATGCTGTGATCAGTCGAGTGGCTCTCGGACAAGATGCCAGCCTTTGTTAACTGGGGCAGGTAACTGGGTGGACAGCTCAGAAAAGTTCTTGAAGCCACGGGCACTACACCCAAGAAGGGTAAGGTGAAAGAGCAACCAGGAGCAGCCAGGCCCAGGCAGGAAGCGAGTGTGCATGATTGGAGCCGAGGCATCCTGAGATGGGTGATGGAGCCAGGGTCAGCGTCCCCTCCGTTGTGCAGGTGGGAAGACACAGGGGGTGCTGAGACAGGTCCCCATCTCCGTTGGGATTCCAGGTCAGTAGCAAGGAAAACATTCCAGAACGAGCTTACCAGAGGCAAATAGGGCAAAACCAAGATGGCAGGACACGGGGGATGGGAGTGTCTGGGGAGGCGGGGGACAGATGGTGCAGGGGGAGAGAGAGACCCCACGGGCAAGTAGGCCCCACCTCGTACCACCCTGAGCCCATCACTGCCCTCCTTCAGGGGGAGCCGAAGAAGGGGAAAGATGGGGGGGTGTCTCTCCTGGGACCCCAGCCCAAGCCACGGCCCCCGTGCCCACACCTCACGGGCCCCCAGCACGCCGTGGGGAAAGCACTTCCTCCTGCAGTGCTCCTTGCTCATGCTGCATAAATAACAACGGCATCACAGACAGGGGGAAATGCCAAGCTGCACAGCTCCAGCCTGTGATTCCGTGAACCCGCACCCCCCCTTCCCTTCGTCCAAACAAGGCCCTTTGGCGTGAATAATAGCTCAGCGGCTCCGAAGCCGATCGATCAGCTGCACACGCAGCTCCGACGGGAGCCGCCTGGGCTTTTCCTGGGGGCAAGACCAGCACACGCGGTGCAGCCGCCTCCCGCCCCTCCCGGGGCCTCCCCCAGGCGTGTTCAGGAGGGGACAATACCACGGGGAGCCCAGGCGCTTCCACGGCTCCATACCACTTTGTTGCCGCAGTTTTCCTGTTTTTAACTTATTTTGCCAGGAAGAGTACCTGGAAGTTAGAAGGAAATGTTTTTTCATGATGAGGCTCCA